AATTTACTACAGCGAAGGACTCAGCACCATGAACCCCTCTCAGAATCCTCCACTCGCTTTGCACACGCCCGTCCCACCCTCCTGGCCACCCTCTGCAGCAGCTCTGGAGTGCCCCCCCCGAAGGGCCTTAACAAGAAAACAACAAAAACGCCAAAGCCGCCGCCCAACCCCCGCCAACAAAAAAGCAACCCCTAAAAAAAGACACTGTGTCCTCGTCCACCTCAGTCACCGGGTCTGGCGCTGTGTGACTTCCGGCTCCTCCCCAAAGTCAGAACGACCAGGAAAGGTGAACATTTAGAATCGATTCAGAACATCACGGCACCCAGGACAGCACAGTAAGACCCTCAGGAGAGAGGACGCCGGAGCTGCTGCAGGACGTGGCCGGGACGGTGGGACGAGTGTGTGCACAGCAAGGGAGACAAATGGCAATGGGCCTTTCACTGCGATACGTTTACTTTAATTTAAACATTCCCCGTATCTTTGGACACACGGTACCCTCAGATGGCACTGTGTAACTGAGAGTGTCTGCTTATCTGCATCCACGGCTTTTAAGCAACTGAGTCAAACAGGGCCGGGCACCGAGCTGGAGCTCAGGGCGTAGTCACCAAGCGGGTGGACAGGTGAACGGAAGTTGTCAGAGGCTGCCTATGGCATTCACATCTGTTCCTCCAGGACGGAGTGTGGATTTCTCCCCGGGTGCTTGCTAGAAACTACATTTCCCAGCATCCCTTGTGGCTCCAGGCCACCATGCTGTGGCGTTTGGCCAGTGGAGGCTCATGAGCCTAGGCAGGCACTTCGGTCTTCCCTCAGTGGGGTGCAGAGGTCTGGGTGGGACCCCACCACCCCCCTCCAAATGCCTCCTGAGCAGAGCAGCATTTCTGTCTCACGCAAGCCCCCAAGCTTGGGAGTCTTGTTACTGCATCAGCCGAGGGTCCTAGCTGTCTGGTAAAGAACAGAAAGCAAACCATCAGGGGGTCTTCCGCTCTTCCCCCCCTCCCCCAGCACTGGCCCCTCTGGAAACATCTGTAGGAGCCCCGTGAACATCTGCAGCACTCGTTAACGCCCTGGGCTGTGCCGGTTCATGGGAAAAGAGTATTCTCGCCACGTTCCACCCTAGTCAGGCCAGCGCAGGCCTCTCTAGTCAACTCCTGGAGAACCCAGAGGCCCGGGGCTCCCCAGAGAGGCACCCGAAGCAGCCCAGGTCGCTCTACTCCTGGGAGCCAGGAGGCAATGGCGGCTCTGCAGGGAGCATGTGCCCGGTGGAGGCTTCCTCCTGTGGGTGTGGCTTGTTCTCCCCAAACAGGAGACAGTCCTCAGTGCAGCTCTGCCGCGGGACAGGCCAGCCGCTCCTCCGAGGCCCTGTGGCCGGTGAGGGCCAGCGTCCCTGAGGGCTGCACTCACGGCTGTATGGGAGAACCTGGCGCATCAAGTAGGCGCCGACCAATGCCGTCCTCAGAGGTCACAGTGAAACTCTCGCCCAGCCTGACGGCTCCGCTGGGCCGCGTGGGGAGGTGCCCGGCCTGGGGCAGGGAGGGTGGGGAAGGGAGGGAAGGTTGAAAGGGGGGGAAATCTGTTCCCAGGACAGATACACATCACACAGAGATGCGTGGAGACTTTCCTCACCCCGCGGGAGGCAGCAGGGAGAGAAGGGGGAGGTGAGGGAAAGGGCAGTGCCGGTTTCCAAGCTCCGCCGTCTTGGAAGGTGGCGCCTCCGGAGGCGCCTGCTGCTGGTGGTCTCCACGAAGCCTTCGAAGTGCGGAGGACAGCAGCGCCTGGGGCCAGCGAGGCTCCCCGGGGGGGAAAATGCCATCTTTTAATGCTGCTGACGTGGGGAGAGGGAAGCTCCCTCAGACCAGAAGGACCAACAAGGCGGGCCAGGTGGGCGCGGCTCACGGAGAGGGTTCAAGCGCGGGGTGGAGCAGTCACACGGTGGCAATGTGGCTGGAAGGGCAGCTGCTGGAGGCTCCGGTGACCCGGGGGGGAGCCACAGGGCACGGGGCTGAGGTGCCGCGCTGTGTACGCAGCAGAGAGAAAACAGTGCCCAGGGCGTGGGGGGAGACAGGTTAACCGGGCGTCGCCAGCGGCCGGCACTGGCTGTGCCGCCGTGCTCCTGTGCCGGGCGCCGCGACCTCCTGGCTGGCTCCACAGAAACTGACTGCCCAGTTCTGGAGTCTGCAAGTCTGTGTGCGCTGCTGGGGCCCCCTGGCCACCCCCTGTGCCTTCGTCCGGGCTGGGGTGCAGGTTGTCGTCACGTCAGTGTCCTCTGCAGGAGGGACACAGTTGCGTTGCCGTGGGAACCGCCCCGGTGCCTCCTGGGGGTTTATCACCCACGAAGAACCTTCTTCCCCACAGCCCCGTTCGCAGCCGGCGGGGTCCGGGTCGGCGTCTCGGCAGGGACACACGAGCCCGGCCAGCCTCCTGCTGGTGTGTGGTCTCGGAAGGGGACCGGCTGTGTGGTCTTGGGAAAGGGCTTGTCCCCAAGCCCTGGGAACCTGCTTCAAAGGGGCCGCAGTCCCCTCCCGGGGCAGGGATTAGCGCAGCTCAGTGGCTGATGCACATCAGGGCCGTCGCTGGTGCGCGGGCCGTCCCGGGTCTGCTCCCACCCAGGGGCATCTGTCCCCGTCGCACCCCCGCGCCCAGGATCTGTTGGGTTCTTTCCATATTGTCTGCACTTCAGGATTCTTTGACTGGACTTAATTTTCACTGTGAGCCACTGCACCCCCAGGGAGACCGAGACCAGAGGCTGGCAATTGGGGTTTCCCTGCCCTTCTGTAGGGTTACGAGAAACGGCCCCGATCGCGTCAGGCCAGGGCACGAGACCTGGCTGTGGGAACATCTGGCTCGGGGGCTCCCGGGGAGACCCCGGTGTCCTGCAAGGGCCCCACTCGCCCCGGGTGCCCTGGGGTCTGACAGGCGTTCCATGACCATTTCCCGGGGACACAAGGCTCGCCCCCTGCTCCAGCTCTGCTGAGCCTCGCCCTCGCAGGTGCCTTGCCTTCTCTGCACAGGAAGGAGCCACGCGCGCAGAGGGGTCCCGCAACCTCTCGGGGAGCTGCAGCCCATCGTGGGGTCCCCCAGCCTCTCTGGGAGCTGCAGCCCATCTGTTCCGAGAGGACCCTGCCCCGCCCTGCCCTGCCCTCGCCTGCAGCCTGCCTGGCGCAGGACCAGGGGTCTTTGCCTCACTTCAGTGTGTTTCCCCAGGGCCTGAGGGGACCCCCATCCTCTCCAGCCCCATCCCAGGTCAGGTTTTGGGAGGCCAGGCAGGAAGACAGCTGCTTCCTGACCCCTCGTCCCCAGGCCAGGGGCAGGGCAATGTGCTCCTCCCCCTTTGGGAAAAGGAGTTAATGTTTAAAGCGTCCTGGCCACGCTCATGTGGGTGCCTGAGGCGTGGACAGATGGCCGTGGCCGGGACACCTGGGGACACCCCAGCCAGCTTCGCGGCAAATCAGTTCTGGGGTCTCAGGGGCACCTGCGTCCCCAGCAGCAGGGACAGAGCCCCCCAGCCATCTCCACCTGGAGGTCGGTGCTTGAAGGCCTCGTGGCACCCCGGTTTTCCCTGTGACCTCCCAGCGTGGCCACGGTTCTGGTTCCAGCATGTGGGCATCCACACCACCCGGCACGAGTTAATCATCTACACGGCCTGCTCCTCTCCACCTGGAACTGGTTCCGCTCAGCCCACAGCCAAGCCGACGCCTGGTCACTTCCTCCCCGCTCACCTTGGCTGTGCGGCCTCACCTTCCCAGAGGGGGGTGGGCGAGGATCCCAGCTTCGGGGCTGCCCAGGGCCGGGGCAGGGCTGCTGTCCAAGGTGGGCCCCCCTTGATCGGGCTGCCTCAGCCTTACCTGCATGAGCGGGGAGTGGTGGCCGCAGGGCAAGGTGGTCCAGCTCAGGAACCCAGCCCTGGACCTCCACGGACAGGGCCATCGGTGAGGGGCACCACGGAAGGAAGCGGGCACTGCACCCAGGCTCCTGAGCAATACCACCCTAAAGGCACAGGGCAAGGCCTGCGGTGTGGACACCCGGCCGGGCACTCCCTCCCTTCCCAAGCGCCTGTACCCCATGCCCCTGTGTCCCCCAATGCCCCGTGTTCCCCAATGTCCCCCAGTGTCCCCAGGCTCTGCTTGTTTTCTGCTCACTCCAACTTCCCCACACCCGGCAGAGCTCCCGCTCCAGGAGCCCCGGCCAGTCCCCAGCATGTGCATGACTCAGTAAACAACGATGCGCCCTTCCAGGTATATCGGAAGACTGAAGAATTAAAGATTAAAAGTGCTCAAAAGCCGTCATTGGGGCATTATTTTACACCTTCCCAGGCTCCCTACTGCAGGCTTTTGCACCCATCATATCTGGTACTGATTCTGCATGAAGTATGATCAAAAATATGGTGAATTCCTACATTACCAAACCATCAGAGTAGCAGACACGTGGTCATGAGTCCAGCTCCTAACCGGGCGCACAGAACTGACCGCGGCCTCGGCGGCCTGCTGGCCGGTGCAATCTGTGAGCTGCTTCCCGGGCGACGCCAGGTCGGAGGGGGCGCCGGAGGCCGGCGTCAAGGAGCAGCGGCAGTGGAGTTGCACCTGGCCTGGTCTGCGTGTGGGAGGCAGCCCTGGAGGAAACGCCGCTTCTCCGGCACACACGACACCTCCTGAGGAAGCCGACCGGAGGCAGGACAAGCTTTCTGCCCTTAGCTGAGCTGCAGTCCTGACGGGAGCCTCACTTCCCGGGTGACCCCGCCCAGGCCAGGTGACCCAGGAGAGGAGCCGGCCCAGGGCGCAGTGCCAGGAACTTGCACACTTTCCTGCGGAGAGTTTTTGTTTTTGCAAACTAGATTTTTGTAAAATCCAGTTTTTAAAAAGACTCAGTAAAAAGCTCAGACATGCCTGTGTTTTTAAAAGTTCTGTACTACGAGGGCTGATCAAAATATATGGCGACTATTAAAATAAAAATGATTACAGTGAAAGACATGCTGCCATTAATCCCCCTCAGAACCCTCCATTTTGTTTGTTTGTTTGTTTGTTTATTTACTTCTGGAGACAGAGTCTGGAGTTGTATCCCACTGGAGTATGTATCCCAGGCTGGCCTCAAACTCATGGAGATTCTCTTGCTTCAGCCTCTGGGGCACTGGATTACAGGTGTGCGTGAGCAGGCCGGGCTCCTCCCTGCCTCAGACACGTTCATCTCATCCTTCCTGCTTCTTTCTGAAGCCGCTCTGGAGTGCTCTCTCCTGTGGGTTTTTATGAATCGTGATCAAAAACATGGTGACTGCCCCAGCGGCCTGTGCATGTGCCCCGCCTGGATGTGGTCAGAGGGTGTAGTGTCCCGTTCCTCTCAGCTTGGGACAGCTGGTGATCAAAAACATGGCAGGAACTGTATCTGCCCCGTGTTGCAGGTGAGACCGAGGCACAGGGCAGTCCCAGACCTGGCCCCCGTGCCACGGCTACAGAGTGTGGGCGACAGCTCCAACCAGGTCGTGGGAGGCAGTCTGTGCCCCTCCCGCTGAGTTGTTGCTGGAAGTAGAGCAGGAGGAACCGAGATCAGCCCCCGAGATCAGCCCAGCTGCCTGGCCACACCTGGCGTTGTCATGGTGACCCAAGGATTTTTTTTCCCCCTCCCAAGCTATTAAAGGATTTTAGTCAGAGAAGTGACCGAAACAGATCGTGTTAAACTTCCTGCCCTAAGCCAGATCCCCAGGAAGTCGGCCCTGACCCATGGCTTGCCCCTCCCCACCTCCTGCCCTCCCCAAAGCTGGGCTGTGCCCTCAGCCCGCCCGGTGACGAACAGCCCGGATGGAGGGCCTCTCCTCCCGCTGCAGCCCCCTTGGACCTCCTCAGGTGGCCACCGCTCCTCCCCGTGCCGTCTCCTCCGTGACTGCAGCATCGTCCGGGCACTTTGCTCGGTGGCTGGGACGCAGCCCCGGCAGCCACTAAAAGGAGGAGAGGTTTGTGTGGCTCAGGCTTTATAGTCGGCCAGGCCAAGCAGCACAGGACAGAGGGGCTGGGCAGCGCGTGGGCAGCTGTCACCCGCCCCTGCTCCGGGCACCGTGGTTCCCACCCGTCCTCTCTGGGCTCCTGCGTCCCCGCAGACACAGCTCCGAGCCGCCGCGGCCTCCGGGTGACCAAGGGCAGCTGCCTTTCACACAGGCCCTGGCCTCCCTGCAAGACGTTTCCTCCTCTGGTTGGTGATGCCGAGCAGGCTGGGTTCTACTCTTCTTCACCAGTGGCTTCTCCAGCTCCTTTGCTGGCTCTTTCTCCTCTCTGAATTTAAATATCGAAACTCCAGTGCCCTTCAGCTGGTCTCTACGCTCCCTCTCTCTTGGTGATTTCAGTCTCAGAGGCATGTTTTGGTTTTTGGCTTTGGTGGTTGTTTTGTTTTGCTTTGTTTTGTTTTTGAGACAGGCTCTTCCTGTGTAGCCCAGGCTGGCCTCAAACCCATAACAATCCTCCTGCCTCAGCCTCCAAAGTGCTGGCATGACAGGTGTTCCCACCACGCCTGGCTCCCCACAGTTTAAAGAGCAGTTTAAACTCATGCTTCTCGGAGGCTATCTGCAGTGCTGACCTCCAACAGCGTCCCCAGCTCTGTACCCCATAGCGCTGACACCTCTCCACCCTGGCCAGCTGGACTGTGACAGATTTCCTCCCTGACCCCCACCCAAGGAGCGCCTGACTTCCTCTGCCCTTCTTCCCCACGGCGAGCACACCCACTGTCCGTCCACTGCTCACCGTCCACTGCTCTGCTTGGGCGACAGCAGAAGGCCCCTGGTTGGATGCAACCTCCTGGTGGTTGTCAGCTCCCCACAGCACCCTGCACACTCCTGGAGCCGCTCTGTGAGCAACAAGGCGTGCGCGTCACTCTCCCCTGACAGAGACCCAACTTCCTGTTGCAGTTCCCGGAGCCCGCACCTCACCCTGCTCCCTGCTGTCCCCAGCTCGGCCTGTGCCACTGGCTATGGCCCCCAAGCTGCCCTGGGCCTGCGAGGTGGTTCCTGCATGGGCCGTGCTCTCTGCTAGCATGTCCTCCTCCCATCTCGGTCCCAGCGGAAGTGCCCCTTCCTGGGGAGGCCTTTCCTCAGTTCACCCTGAGGAGCCTCCCGCCACCATCACCCCGGGCTCAGCCACTGTCCCACTGCTGGGCCACAGCGTGACACCGCGACGTACAGCAGGAGAAGTTCACCTCGCTCGTGGCTTCCGAGGGTCCGGTCCATGGCCTGTGGCTCTCAGGCCTCTTGTTTCACCCCCCCAGCCGCGCTGTCCTCACCACACAGCCGTGGCGGTGACGATGACGATGACACATGGTCCACAGCCCGTGGTGAGAACTGCGGGGTGGTGGGCAGCACATACCAGGTCCTAGTCCTTGTTTTCAGTCTTGGTGTTGCCCGCGTGACAAGGTTAGCAGGTGGGGAGGCCGGCGTCAGCTCCCAGCCTGTGCGAAGACGAGGGACACTCGATGCTGAGAGCCCTGGTGTCCACCCACCCTGCGGGCCCCAGGACCTTGGCTCAGGTTCGGTCCCTCCCCCCCACTCCTCAGCCTGGCCAGCAGGGTGTCCAGGGGACGCTGCTGCTCCTGGGCACACTCGGGCTCTGCACACAGCTGTGCCCAGTGAGCTGTGACATAGGCATCACGACCCAGGACACCACGGGGCTGACGGAACTGGAGCAGACACACGGGCTCAGACACGCACGGCTTCTCCCAGGGGACCCAGCCCAGCCCACCCGGGGGACAATTGCAGAGCGGACAGCGGGAAGCTCAGGGAGAGATCTTCCAAAAAAGAGAAGGGGCCAGAGGTGGAGGAAGGGGATGAGGACAGCGCTGGGCTGTGTTATGTCCACTGTGATGCCCTGCCAGGACAG